AATTTGACAGTTTGTTATTGTAAAAAACAAATTTGACAGGAATTTTTCATGCGTCTGTCCTGTTATCGGCAATGAATTTTGTCATAACATTGTCAAAGTAGTCTGCGGATCCACTGAGCTATCCCCTCATAGATCCACAGCTACTTGGACAATGTTATGATGAAATTCATGATCAATAACAGGACAGATGCATGAAAAACTGGACATGTAGTAAAATACAGCTGACATGTCTGTTCTATCATTGTATCTGTCAGTGACTACACCTACTGCCATTGGTCAATGTAGCAGGTGTATTCTACTGTATGGCCCGCTAACATTTAAAGCCCCCTGTTGCCAAAACATCATGCAATAATATTTATTACCTTTCTTAACATTCATACATGTAGCATGTGTGTAAAACTACAAGTTAACTTTAAAAGATTTTGACAAAAGGGTATTTAAACCCTGGGATTTAAATGTGCTAATGGCTTAGTAGTAACTTCGAATTGAATCATTTTGATTTTGATATTCAGTGGTTTGAAGCCATTCTCCATGACTTAAACTGTTTGACCCACAGTAGAGATATTAATCATAAATATCTTACAAACCTCGTCTTTTCAGTCCTACTGTAAGTTCCAGATCCTTGTTTTTATTTCCTTTGATTCATGGCCCACACACTGTGCTTCGGTCATAAATCGAAGGGGAAAGAACTTGGTCTGTAACTTACAGTACAGACCTCAAACTCAGTCAGACAGAGGCATTTTGTTGTCTTTTTAAGCATGTTTAGTACATGACATACACACTACAGTAACTTCACTAAACTGATATTGAATGTCACCCTCAACAGTGATTGTAAACTCCCTTGTTGAGGAGCTGAATCAATGATTTATTATAATTTGTAATTCATTTCCTACTAAGTCTGTAAGATAAAGTAATTGCTTACTTTTCAGTCCCTTTAACTGAAGAGTGATTCTGTACCTCAGCAAGTGAAGTATCTGGTTGTGATTTTACTTTTTCCATCAAACCCTGAACACAAAAAAATCATGCATTAGAAAGAGTATATTCAAATAAAGTTAGAAACAATACACATAAGTTCATGCAAGAAGGTATAATGTATAAGGGCAGTGTATTAATCATGAATAGCACCAGACCAATATCTGCCATTAGACTTCTAAACTATGACGAACATTTTTTTTTTCATGTCTGACACCAGTAGTATTAAAACCAGCATTAAGGTGATAAAGAATTAGTACAGTTTAGGCTGCTGCAATTCACAAAGAGAATAGTATATTATCAAAGTACTCTAAACTCTATGCTTAGGGGAAAACTACATGTATGAACTATGAAAGGAATTAAATGTATACACTGGCATTATACAGACTATCAATAATTTAGCCAAGCCTTATATTCTGGAGACCAAGATCTTCATATTAGTGTCTTAGCACAGTGGGGGGTGGGAGAGGTTTAGTATCACTCACCTTGTTTGGTCCAATACATGCAAATTTTCCATTGTCCAAGTTGACATCACTGATCGTGGTAACTGTGACAACATGCTCAGGATGATCATATGTTGCATCAACTGATGATGGTACTTCTTGCTCACCTTTTTCGTCATCAGATTCAAGAGCCTCTAAAATTTGAAACAAACACTAAATTGGTTCTTAGCCCAGTGAAATGCATGCATGTAAATGGACAGTTAAGATTATTAACCAGATGTGTGACGATGAGTTTTGCCCCCAAAAAACTAATACTGAAAAATGTGAATTCAAATAAAAACATGAAAAACCTCTACTATAATTCCTAATCTAACATTCTTACCTAATTCTTTCCTGTGTTTCTCCATTTGTTCCACCATACTTCTCTTTTTCTATCAGGACGAAAATAAAACATTCAAAATGTGTCTGCCTCACAAAGAAAAACACTACTCTCACCTTCTCACAACACCTTGCATTGAGGAGTGTTACAGAACTTGAAGAGTTCAAGACCATGCAGGCATTCACACAGACAACCAGGCAGGTACAATCTCGGTCAGATCAACGCGGATCACAAAAAAATAGAGATAGAGGAAATTGAAACTTTTATCCATATGAAGGTTAAAATTCCTCTAAAATATTTGACCAAATCAAGAAAAACATTTCTGTGTTGCCATGCTGCTATTTTGTATTTTTAGAGCCTTTTATGATTTGAGTTGATCCAAGTCGATTCAAGTTTATACGAGTTGATCCCACCNGAATTAAATGTATACACTGGCATTATACAGACTATCAATAATTTAGCCAAGCCTTATATTCTGGAGACCAAGATCTTCATATTAGTGTCTTAGCACAGTGGGGGGTGGGGGAGGTTTAGTGTCACTCACCTTGTTTGATCCAATACATGCAAATTTTCCATTGTCCAAGTTGACATCACTGATCGTGGTAACCGTGACAACATGCTCAGGATGATCATATGTTGCATCAACTGATGATGGAACTTCTTGCTCATCTTTTTCGTCATCAGATTCAAGAGCCTCTAAAATTTGAAACAAACACTAGATTGGTTTGCAGACTTCCTTCAAAAGTTCTTAGCCCAGTGAAATGCATGCATGTAAATGGACAGTTAATATTATTAGCCAGATGTGTAACGATGAGTTTTGCCCAAAAAAAACTAATACTGAAAAATGTGAATTCAAATAAAAACATGAAAAACCTCTACTGTAATTCCTAATCTAACATTCTTACCTAATTCTTTCCTGTGTTTCTCCATTTGTTCCACCATACCTCTCTTTTTCTATCAGGATGAAAATAAAACATTCAAAATGTGTCTGCCTCACAAAGAAAAACACTAGTCTCACCTTCTCACAACACCTTGCATTGAGGAGTGTTACAGAACTTGAAGAGTTCAAGACCATGCAGACATTCACACAGACAACCAGGCAGGTACAATCTCGGTCAGATCAACGCGGATCACAAAAAAATAGAAGATAGAGGAAATTGAAACTTTTATCCATATGAAGGTTAAAATTCCTCTAAAATATTTGGCCAAATCAAGAAAGACATTTCTCTGTGTTGCCATGCTGCTGTTTTGTATTCTTAGAGCCTTTTATGATCTGAGTTGATCCAAGTCGATTCAAGTTTATACGAGTTGATCCCACCCGGACTGGTAGTCCAAGTTGATCTGGTCTGACTTTTGTACCAACCTCAGACAATCAACCTGCTGGCTGACCCTAGAGAAGCTACACATGT